CGGTACATTTTATTTCAGAGCATCTATTGGCCAAATCTGAGTACTCTAGGACTTTGTTTACCCCCCTGACGATAATAGGTTGAGGTATTGCCGAAGCCAACATTTCCCCTATATAGTTTTCATAAAAGTTGACGATACAAATACTAATGAGGAAAGGAATTCCGCATTTCCTTTTCCCAAGTCCTTTTCCTCTCCTTCCCTTCCCTTCTTCTCTTTTCAGAAAGCGAGTAATGGCGCTATAACCATATGCCATATAGGGCTAGGACAAGAGTTAGTGCTCAGGTCCCAACCGCTAGAAGAAAATGGTAGCGAGCAAGGGCGCTATAACCTAGGCGAATACAGCATTCCCTCCGTATAGGTTACGTCCGCACACCGCTCTCCGTTGTCCTTCAACTGAGGTCGGCTGGATCGATTGAGGGATGGCAGTGGGTTGGCGGTGCCGTCCACGCTTGTACGGAGGGAGGACTGTTCGCTCGAACACAAGGGGTAAATACCTGTGTTCCATCCCAGGAGATCGGACAACCAAGGAGTGTACATTAACTTTCTTAGTTCTGTCACTCCCAACGATTTATATAGCCTATTTTCAAATCCAGCATACGGAGCGGTTGGTACGGTATGTCCCCGCTCTTTGATTACCTGTGGATTAAATGTTAACCACTGTCTATACTTATTAAGTAGACATGGTAAACATTCACTTCCACAAAAATTAACTAAACGCTACACAGTAGGCCTGGCCGCTTTATTGTTTGTTTCACATCCTTGATGTGCAGCAGGCATTAATAATGACAAGAAAAATGATAGATGTATCATTTTCCAGGATTCTTTCAAGTACTGGATGTGTATGTGTAGACTAGACTAGACTAGACTAGACTAGACTACGGGGCACGCGTATGATCGATTTTACCGCGGCATACAGCACAACAGGGTGCCTTCCATTCATTTTGACTCAAAAAATGTAAAAATATCATCATATTTTCTTATTATTCCATAATTTCAAAAAACATTTTTTTAGTCAAAATGAATGGAAGGCACCCTGCAGCACAATTTCACACCTAATTAATCGAATATTTATCACAGCACTGCGAAATAAACTATAACGTTCGCCAATACACACAATTATCCGGAGCCTTCAATCAATTCAAATTATATGTAGGTTACACGAGCACCACCTGATAAGTGAATTCTGTATTGTATTTTTTTTCCACAAAATAGGTTTTGTTTATCTAAACAACTTAGCTGAAAATGAAATCGTTCATCTAGTCTATCTGATGGAAACAATTGGAAATGAATGTTACACTAGCGCTGCCTTATGAATGAATTCTGAGCTGAACTCTTTACCACTGAATAGATCTTGTTCATCTGAACAACTTTGTCGAAGTCGGAAACCATCGATATAGTCCATGTGTTAAGTTAGGGCAAACAATTAAAAATTAATTTCAGGCTAGTGCCACTGGGTGAGTTAATTCTGAACAAGATTTTCTTTAAGATTGGTCTTGTCCATCTGAACAACTTTTCTGAAGACGATAACCATCCAGGATTTGTAGCTAGCGTTATATCATATGTATGTAAGACGGCGCAACTTGATGGGTACATTTTTACAACCAATGCTATCCTTCCATCTCGACCGTTCACAACGATATTTACAAAACAGCTAGAACCGATAACATATGAATATCTTAATTAGGTAATATACCTTATCTTGGTTGGTATGCTTGGTGTATAAAAATTTATTTAGTTATGGATCAGTCATCGACATATTTTTTTTAATTACTTTATTTGTAAAGCCTCAATTGAATAAACTTTACAGAGCCGAGTTATCATTTTCGTTATACATTATTACTGACTTATATATAAAGTTAAAGGAACTGAAATGTGGTTTACGATACAAATATTTTATTAATCCTAAAACATGAAATTATTTCTATTCATCTTGAAAACAGACATTGAAACCCACACGTACAAAATACAAACTAAACACAAGATTAATCAAACTTACAATCTAAGGTTAATATTCTTAAAGTAAACATATATGAGCTTCATAAACTCCAGATCGCGTCTAGCCAAAATATCCCGAACTGGAACATAAGGTGGTCTACCTCGAGCCCGAAGGGAATCATAAAAATGTGATCTGACTCCACCATACTCCGCACAAGACCAAAGGATGTGATCAGCGTCCTGGTAACCATGTCCACATTCACAGAGATTGCTGTCTCCCAACCCCACACGGAACAAGTGAGCGTTTAGACAATAGTGATTGGACATGAGACGAGACATCACGCGTATGAAGTCTCGACTCAAGTCCAAACCTTTGAACCATGCAAACTTCGACACCTTAGGGATAATTGAATGTAGCCATCGTCCCAAGCTCCTTTCACTCCATTGATGTTGCCAGCTAACGAGCGACTGCTGACGATAAATAGAGAAAAATTCAGGCGATTTGTCGATCATAAATGTCGCCTTTCATAGCGCCCACCTTCGCAAGTGAATCCACCTTCTCATTGCCCAAAATTAAGCAATGCGAAGGGACCCACGTGAAGATGATGATGAAAGAGCGCACGGATAAAGCACTAAGGGGCTGTTCATAAACTACGTAGACAGTTTAGGGGGGGGGTGACAATTATCCACGGCCCATACAAATTTTAAATTTTTTGTATGAACAATTGTCTACGTAGGGGGAGGGGGGGGGGTCAAGAATCCTAAAAACTGTCTACGTAGTTTATGAACAGTCCCTAAGCAGCTCTCGTATTTTCAAGAGAAAATACGAGAAGTGCTTTACCGGCCTAATGGAACGGATAGCGTCGACAGAACTGAGACTATCCGCAAAAATAAAGTAGTGGTCTGCAAGAAGTGAAGCAATAGTTTCCAAAGTGTAGTGAATTGCTGCCAGTTCAGCCACATACACAGAACGAGGAGCTTGATATTAGAAGACCTTTTAATTATCAAAGTATGGTATTCTGGCATCAAAAAAGCGTTATCCCTAAGTTATCATAAGAACTTAATCATGTTGCTAGTTCGTTATTCGTAGAACATTTATGAGGCAATTTATTTTGGTATTTTACCTCTTATCTCAGCCTTGTCAAAACCATATTAAGATGGCCAGTTATGCTATTTTCATACCTTAATTTGGTATTAATAAGTTTCTGCTCGGAAACAGATTCCCGTTTTACGTTACGCTCAAACGTTACACTATTCCTAACCGGCCACTCAGTAAATTGGCGAAAATGGAGGAAGTAAGTATGGGAGCAGCCTGAACAGGGTTGCTGTTAGTTAGGCTACCATCCAATACAGATCGAATTTTGGTCGAAACCCTTAACCTGTGGACTGAGAGATCACCTAAAAAGAGTGTCGCTGTTTAAGATTTGGCTAAAAACTGGGAAAATCGATGAGTATCGTTCAATATGCCAAGGCAAGAAATGGTCTCAACGATGATTGGTTAGTCAAGAGGCATCTTCATCATCGTATTTTTGCTTACAATTGATTTTTTTTTACACAAAACACATACTAACGTGAATTAACTTCTTATCAGTCTAGTTTAGTTCTTCCAGCCATGTAGTAGACAAGTTCAAGTTTATGCAAATCGTAATGTGCTAGCTGATAAGAGAGGCATCATTCTTCCTTTTCAGTCTACTTTATGTGTTATGCATTTATGGTAGCTTAGTAAACGCTTATTGTTTACGCTTGTGAGCTGAATGTAAATTTCCCAAACAAACGCAAGTGCCAAGATTTTATCAATTTCATTACTCAAATGAAATAATGTTTCCCGATGAAAGCTTCAGTAACAGATAACATATTTGCTACGAAATCACGTTTTCCGTTGGAAACTGTCAATTAATGATAAAATATACTGAACAACATGACAGCTTTATTGCATTCAACACGTTCAATCGGCAATGTCTTAGCGGGGCAGTCGTCCGTGTGAGGTCCCACCACTCTCCCACACTATGTGCGATGGAATGCTCCCTATCCGTCGGCGAATTGAACCAAAGCCTGGGATATCTCGCTTTGAACTTTATGCATATGCCCCCACGTCAACCTCACTCGCGTTTCGTTCGCAGGCAGCACAGCACACAGCACCTTCCCGAAACACATTCTCATTAAAACACATTTTTCGCGTCACGAGTTTTGAGCAACGGAACCCTGCGGCCACCTATCTGGTACGGGGTCCCTCTGGGGGTACAATTAATCTTAAAAATAAAACCGAAAAAAAGGAAAAACCATGACACCAGAACAACCTACTCCTTGTCTCTGGCTGTATCTCGCTTGCTGGTTCATTTCAAACCCCAACGCCGCAACCGCCTACAGCTCCAGGCGGCAGCATGGTGAAGCATCATGTTCTGCCTCAGTTTCCCCCAAACTCCGAACCACGCGGTGGCTCCGATCCTCGGCTGAAGATGCCGGACTGAAGGCGCTCGAGGATATCGCGAGTATTCCCCCGCGCGCTCGCACTCACAAACACACTCCGTCACCGTCTCTCCCCCACAAGCCACGGAGGAGCCTTTGACAGAAAATGAACCCGCTGTATCTACCGAGCATATATGTATGGATGTAGGGCACAGTTTATAAATCGAGATTTTTCTGAGCGTTGTCGAAATTTCCCGTTCAGATTGCTGACCCGCCGCCGGCATTGGCCCCACGTTGAAAACTCGTACCTTGTTCCGTAATCCACATGTAACTACCAAGAAATGCACACGTCTGTGTATTGGCGGGTTGGTTGGGATACCGCCAAATTAGGTTGCCCCAAAGTTATGTTCATAATTTAATAATATGTACCGCCGTTTGCAATCCATCACTTCCCTCTAAACTATTTAGCCTGCATCGATAATATAGACGGGCATTGATTTTAAATATTGTGATGATAACGGCTCAAAACGAAAATCAATCTAATGACATTTAGAAGCGTTGCTGTAAGAACTTCAATCCCATAAACCACGAAAATAGAGCACGACATAAGCACTACAACTAACGGTGACTTTTCACTCTTTTTTTCTCATCCCACGCAGGCGAAAATGTAACAGCGACATGGAGCGAGAACGTGATCGAGATCGTGACCGCGAGCGGGCAGAACGGGCCTCCGTCGGTGGAGAACGCGATGTGAAACCTTCGCTGGAGCCGCGGGACCTTTCCGCAACGAGGCTGTTTTCCGCGACGCAAATCAAAATTAGCACTTCACCCACCACGTCACCGACGATTTCCAACTCGTCCTCACCGACGCCGACGCCGCCGATACCGGCCGTCTCGCCTGCCGTCACCGGTGTGGGCAGTGGATATCATCACTCGAACCACAAGCAGATTACAGGGATCCCTTGCGTGGCCGCCGCTTCCAAGTACACAGCTCCGGTACACATCGACGTCGGCGGAACGATCTATACCAGTTCGCTGGAAACGTTGACAAAGTGAGTATGTGATGGTTTTTGAGGGGCAAAATTGAGCCAGGAAAAAAAACACAAGTTGGGTAATTGTTCAATTACATTTAAATAAGTCAAAGCTAGTCATCAGTTTGAGAAATTACAGAGATTTTGTTTCGTCAGATGAAAATATTGGTGGACAGTTGAAAATTTTCACAGTATCGATTAGTGCAAACATGTGTATGACTGTGACGAGAAATTCACAATAATGAAATTTCAAGATTTCACTCTAAATGAAATTTCAGATAAAAATCAACAATCATTAAATCGCTTATTTTGACTCCGTGAAAGTTAAATTGACAGGTTTTATGTATCATACACATGTGAAGATGTCGATGGTGACATGAGCTCCGGATCGACTCAACCTGGTGCGAGTGATAAGATCTTTGGTTGGGCTGTCAAGGTTCATAGCATGACTCACCTGTCTGGATACTGGTACGTGTTGCTCCCTGGTACAAGATATCGCCTATTCGATGGTTTGCAGACACTGATCGACTTCTTCAAACGACTCTGGTAGGACGTCGTAATCGATTGCTGTGTCCACACAGCGCTGATACTGCTGCCAGTTGACACGATGGTAATTTCGCCGGGAAATTTGAATTCTATTGGCCGAGGAACCTTCTTCGGCCACCACCGGAGAGTGGTCCGAGCTCAGTTCCTGATAAGCGATAGTTGAGAGATGTTATCGCCAATGTTGCTGATGAAGATGTAGATGGTGGCATGAGCTCCGGATCGACCCAACCGGGTGGGAGTTTCCGGACACAGGGTAGTGGGCTTCCTGCAGATCATTGTATAAGATTGTGCCGTTCTGGTTTCGCCGACTATTGCCCCAGGCTTGATGCTTGGCGTTCTGGTCGCCAGCGATGATGAAATTTTGTCGCCGTCGTGTTAGCTTAATGATGTCTCTTCGGAGGTCTGCGGCCGAGCCGTCCCTAATGACCGTGATGATGGTGATTGGACCAAACGATGTGCTCACCTCAACTCCGATGGCTTCGATAATTTTCATCTGGAAGCTTGGTAGTAGCCGGCAGCTGATGTTCCGTCTCGCAGCGATGGCCACTTCCCCTCCCTCGAAGCTGGTGTGGTCAAGCCTTACCGACCGAAATTCGGGAAGGAAGACGCTCAGCTCGGGCTTCAAGTGAGTATCGGCGATGACGGCTATGTCGATGTGCCGTTCGTTGAGAAAGTCAACAAACTCGATGTTTTTGCTCTTCAAAGAGCAAGCATTCCAATTTACGATCTTGATGGCTTCACGGTCCATACTTAGTGACAAGGGACAGGGCAGCATATAGCTGTTCAGATCGAGTCTTGCAGGTGCGCATGATGATGATGACCTCGGTCACGAACGTCTCAATTTCCTCCGAGGTGAACGGAGAATCGTCGACGAGCTCACCTGAGACAGCACCGGCGTATGATAAACTAGGGGCGGTGGATGAACCTGGAATTGGCTGGGCCGCAGCAGCAGCGAGACCATGCTGAGCAGTCCGACTGTTGGGAACCATTCGTATATTCGCAGGATTGGCTTGTTGGTTGTTGAGCGGAAGCGGGGCTAGGTTCGGAACATGCCGACGGGGCTGGAGAGATGGGTACTGCACTTCCGTGAGTACAGGAGGCGAACGATGATTATGGAGGCGACCATTGTTGATTGTAGCCTTCCGACGGATATTCATAAACTCCACTCGCTTGAGACATCCGCGATTGGAGGCTTGGTGGTTTCCACCGCAGTTGACACTCGTTGGCTCGATGTCATCATCTTGCTCACAGGAGTTGCAGTTGAGTGAGTTCCAGCATACTTGCCGCAGTTTGTCTTCATGTGGCAGTTTTTGGTGCCATGCCCATATGAGAGGCAGTTTATACACTGCGTTACATCACGACGTTGGTGTTTATAATGCTCCCAACTGATGATGACCTGAAACAGGTCCCGGATTTTGGAGAGCCGCAAGACTGGTGGATCACTTCGAGAAGTGCACCAGGAACAACTTATCACGGAAGCTGGTGTTGTGGTTGGAACGCCGGTTCATCGGGTACACTGCCTCAGGCTTGAGCCCAAGCCGCTCCTGCTCGGATTTCACCGCAGCCGCTTCGAACGACGGTAATACACGCAAAACCACCTTCAGTGGCTTTCTCGATGGCAGATCATGCGTGAAGAAGTGCACGTTGTTGTCCTTCAGGAAACATCCTATTTGTTTGTACTCATCCAAACTGGAGCACATGATTTTGATACCGATGCTGCAAAGCTTGAAGCGAGGCAGCAGCTTGTGTTTTGCCAGTTCGGCACCCAGCTTGGCAACATCCTTCACCGGCGTGAAAAGCAGGGGGATCCGGGAACGGCGTCACCATCGCCATTTTCCTCCGGGTTGGCTTGCAGTACCCGTTTTCCGGCGTCATCCTGCGACGCGCTTGGCTTGAAGATCCCGCTGCTGTCTCATTGGCACGTTTACGCACCATTTGTTTCGTGTTTACAAGTTCAAGTAAACTTGTAAACAAAACGAAACAATATCGAAACGGAATCTCGAGCGAAAATACGGACTGTTTGCTTTGTGTGATTTGTTCGTAGTTCGTAGGTATTAGTATATAATAATTTAGATCGGTTTCGTAGTTTGTAAGATAGACATCAAATAATGTCTCTAGGTCAAGTTAAAAGTAAGAAATTCAATTTTACTTCTGGGAACAAATTTTATTTTTAAGCTTTTAGATAAGTTTAAGTTTAGATCAGTACCTAACATTCCAGCCTCCTTAAAATAGCCTATTTTAACGAACCTAATTCTAAATCATTCTGCTGGTGTAGATGCCCCGTGTGCCTTTTGCAAAGGGTATTGAGCATCCTGGTTCTTGAAGGTTGGTGTGCGCAGAATGCTGACGATGATCCTAACCGGAAAAGAAACTAGATTGATTAGTTTGATACATCAGTTTTTACCTTTATCGTTCTCGGTGTCGTCCGGTGGCATCGGAAGAAGAGATCTTAGCGACTGGACAGATAGCACTGTCGGTGGTCGCCGTTCGGAGTGTGACGACTCGTACTATTCCGCCCTGCCCAGGATGGAGTTTCGTGATGCCACTGTGCCGGAGGGAGGTTATCGTCTTTGATGATGACTAAAGGACCAACTTCGATGTTAACGGGCAATCGATTACCTTTGGCAGAGCGGGCTTGAAGATGTTGGAGATATTCGGGGTACCACCTTCTCCAAATCTGCTGGACTTGTTTCTGCACTAAATACCATCGAGACAGCCTGTTGTTCGGTGTTGGTTTGACGTCGCACTCGGAGATTGGAGCCGACCAAGAAGTGACCTGGAGTGAGTGCTTCCAAATCGGCTGGATCGGGTGACATCTTGGTAATTGGTTGGGGATTCAGGCACATTTCTACCTGAGCGAGTAGAGTTATCATTTCGTCCTGGGTGGCTGTTGTTGTGCCTAATTCTTGCAGCTGATGATTTTTCGTCGATTTTACCGCCGCCTCCCATAATCCACTAAAGTGGGGCGCGCGGGGTGGTATGAACTTCCACTCAATGTTGCTGTTGCTGAGACTATACAAAAATAGCGATGTATGACTTCACTGGTCCTGCCTTGCGGTGTGCTTCTTTGAGGTAGATTGGACTGCAGTAGTCCACTCCCGATACAGAGAACGGACGGGATGGAGTTACTCTTGAGGTTGATAAATTGGCTGTTGATTGTTGCACGAGAGTTGGCTTTCATCGGAAGCAGGTGACATTAGTGGTACACCTGACGAAGGAGATTCCGACCTCCGAGAATCCAGAATTTTTTACGAATGGTGCACATCATCAGCTGGGGTCCGGCATGCAGTAGCAATCGATGGTAATGGTTGACCAGTAGCGTGGTCAGCGGATGCTTGCCGGAAATGATGATTGGGTGTTTGGTATCTTCAGCAGCCTTGGAGTTTTCGAGTCGTCCACCGACCCGAATGACGTTGTTGATCCTCGACGAAGATTTATCAACTAGTATACCGTTTCGTAGAGCTGCCACTTCTTCAGAGAACGTATCGCGCTGAGCCAGGCGTCATAAAGCGATTTCGGCATCCCGTAGTTTCGAAGTTGTGAGGAATGTGGCGGGTTGTACTTCGATGAAAGCACACAAGCACCATTTGGATGGTTACTTGCGGCTGATGCGCGCAATGCACGCAGGTAACGTGAAACGTAAGTGACGATTCAGCGTATGACGAAAAGTGGCCTAATAAGAATTCGGAGAACTCGTTCGATTGGGTTGCGTTGGCTATTAGACAAATCTTGCGTTCTTCAGTAACCATTGTTGAAGTATTATCACCTCCGATGGGTTGGTTGGACCACAGATCCGACGGAAGTTTCAACCACATTGGTCCGGTCCACCAGCGTTCATAGTGGAGAAGATCGGCCGGAGTAAGGCTACGCGAGATGTCATCGGCCGGATTGTCGAACCCAGCGACGTGATTCCATGGATGTCCCACCGTAGCTTGTTGGATTTTTCAGACTCAATTGCCCACGAATACCTTCCAGCAGGTTGGTGATAACTTTAGCCACTGCAGCACCGTCGTGGAATCTAACCAAAAGAATACTGGACAGTCGGATTTTAGGAAAGCAATAACCTTTTAAAAGAGTTCCGTAGACAAATTGAAATGGACCGCGCAGAGTTCGAATGGACAAAAACATTCTGATGTTGATCTTCGAAGAAGTGTAAATGGATGCTGGTTGTCCCGGCCACCGAGACAAATCGGGGAATTCTTATGTCACTTAAGAGATTCGGTTGATCATGGAACGTTTTCCATTCGGTTTGGAGTCTTGGTAGAAGTGGATCATCCCAAGCGTAGGACTTCCCGTCGTTGGTGGTCAACGCCCACAGGCACTGCATGAACAGCTTGGCGATAGAGATTACCGGATTGGCGAGGCCCAGTGGGTCGTAGATCTGCGCGATATATGAAAGGACGTTTCGTCTGGTGAGCACGGTAGCAGGAATTGGAAGCTGGATTCGGAATCGCAGTGTATCGGACTTCGGCTCC